CTAAATTTTTCCCAAATATTATTTGGAAAATTTATGGCCAAACGGGCCCTTAAGATACAAAAATAAAATGAAGCAGCAGATAATAAAAACACCACGAAGAATAAAAACTATATGCAATTACTAAATACTTATACTCGTGATGTGGTTGATTCCTTCGGTGGTGGCTCGTGACGTGGTTGATTTGAACGGTGGAGATCGGATTCGGAGGTCAGCAAGATCCTGTTTTAGGTCCCTAACAGAAGCTGAGTTTGGGTGGCGTTTCTTTCTATTTATCCTTTGTTGGTGTAGCTATTGTTTGTTCTCTTTTGGCACTTGTTGTGTAGCCATTAGAAGAATATTTGTAACCCTCATATTGTTATAGTGAAGCAATTTGGATTTTGTCGATCCTGTGGTGGTTACCTTCGGATTGAAGGGTCTTTCACGTTAAATTTGGTGTTCTTTATTGTTAGATTTTCGATTTCATTTTTTCGTCACAACAGTAAATACGTAAAAGATTTTTTTATTTGGACAATTTTTGAAAAATTTTCGATTGCCTCATTTCTTTTAAGTTCATCCTTTGAGGTCATTGCTTTGAAAAAAGAGGGGAAAAAATAAGAACGAAAATTCTATCAGGCCAGACATGCATACACTTCATTTATTTGTTCTAATTTTAATTTGGCACAAAATTTATAAAAATATAGAAGAATTTTAAATCTTGTATAACGAAATGTCATTTAATTTTTGTGAGTTATTAAAGACATCACGTGGAAAGCTATAATTAAAGAATTATTAAAAACGCAATAAACATCTCTTTTTAAACAGATTAAAAAGGACAGTAAGATAAATAAATTAAAACAGAGGCTAAAAAACCATTTGTCTCTAAATTTTGTACCCCTAGTCACAAATGAAGACTACAAAATTTATTTAAAATGAGTCTTTTTTAGCCCTTATCAAACTTTCGTCGTCTTTATACATAAGAGATCTTCACGTTTACATAGTGACCGAGAGGTTCTCTACCCATACATTTCATTTATGTGACACATTTAAAATTTTAAAAGTCAAAACAAGTTTCGCACACAATGTTTGCATATATGTTTTTAAATTTTTATATCTGAAAAATTATTTTCTTCTAATCAAATTATGAAGAAAAAAAAAAAGAGAGATCTCATATCCAACTTAAAATCCTAGCTTCGCTTTTGTTATGTCATTTCTCTGAAGTTTCTGATATTAAACAGAAAACTTTCACATATTAAGGATGTAATAAATCCATCAATAAATTTCATATAGCTCAAAATATAAAATTCTCATAGACGAGAAGACCTAAAGCAATAAAATATACCCACACAAAAAGTCTTAAAATAGAATATACACACTTGAAAATTTTCACTTGCCTTAGCAATCATCGATATATAAAAATGGTTAGACATTTTTTAAAAAAATATAAATAACTAATTCTTTGTACTTGAATTTGTTTCATTATAAGAACCTTCGTCAGACTACACATGCATACACTTTATTTATTATAGGAAATTCTTTCATTTGTTTGTTCTTGGTTTGATTTGGCATTAAATTTAAGTAAATAAATAAAAAATTTAAATCTATTGTCTTAAACTTAAGATATGTTGAATATAAAGAAAATTTCTTTAAATTTTGTGAGATCTTAAAAATATCACTTGAAAAATTAGAATTAAAGAGTTGTTAGCCCTTTACAAGCTTTTTTTTAGTTTTGTGGCTTTACAAGAGATGTACTTTTTTTATACATAACAGATTTAAATGATCTTTTTTTCTTTTATTCAAATTATAATAGAGTGAGAGATTTCAATTTTTTCATATATTTACATCCATTCACTTAAATTTTATATTCTTTTAGAATTTATTAGAAAATCATTTATCTCAATTCTCAAACTTACTTAAAATCCTTGTTTTTTTTCTTTTGTAAGTTATTTCGCTAGAGTTTCAAATAGAAAATTTCTCACACAATAAGAATGTCATAAATTCCAACAATGAATTTCTTAGTTCAAAAGATAAAATATTGAGGGAAAAAAATCAAACCTAAAGCAATAGAATATGCACATATAGAAGTTTAAAATGTGTTTGTAAAAGTACACAGAGAAATGAAGAAATGAATTTTTTTTGTCTTTTATAATTTAGATTGAAAAATGTTGTTTTCTATCTCTTACATGTAAAATATGAACTAGAAATCTCCATCATAGAAATTCACATGTCGTACATAAATTACTTCAAAAATATAACTGATCGTCCAAAAAAGATAAAGAAGCTAAGGATAGAATATACCTTGAAAAAAAAACTCAAAAACTCCAAGACAAATTAGTAATTCTCTAAATCTTTTGTTTTGCCTTTAAATCTTTTACATTTTGAACGTCATTTATATAGTTCAAACTTTAAAAATCGTCACTATATAGAAATGGTAATAAATTAAAATGCAAATGTTAATTCTTTGTACTTTAATTTATCTTCACTTGGCATTCTTATCATACATGTGGACCAACAAAAAAAAGAATAAACATTAATAATTTACTAAATAGTCTTACATTTAATTATTTTACATTTAGAATGTCATTCATAAAATTAACACTTTTGCAATCATCGCTATATAGAATTTGTAAGAAATTAAAGATAAATAATTAATTCTTTGTACTTGAATTTATTTCCATTTTTACTTATCATTTTTATCATATATCTGAACCGATAAAAAAATGAATCAACATTAATAATTTACTAAATAAATCTTGCCTTTAAATCTTTTACATTTTGACAACCATTTATATAATTTAAATTTTAGCATTCGTCACTATATAGAAATGCTAAGAAATTAAAATACAAATTATCAAACCTTGTACTTAAATTTATTTCCATTTTTCACTTGTCATTCTTATCAATATGTGGACTTATAAAAAAAGGAATCAGCATTAATAAGTTACTAAATAGACTTGTCTTCAAATTTCTTATATTTTGATGGTTATTTATATAATTTAAACTTTAGCAATCGTCCTGTATATAAATAGTAAGAAATTAAAATATGAATGATTAATTCTTAGTACTTTGTATTTTCACTTGTCATTTTCATCATATATGTGGATTAATAATAAAAAAAAAAAGAATCAACATCAATAATTTACTAATAGTCTTGCCTATAAATCTTTTTACATTTTTATAGTCATTTAAATAGATTTAAACTTTAGCAATCGTCATTATATAAAAATAGTAAGAAATTAAAAAAAAAAAATCAACCAAACAAGTTTAACTAAAATATTGAAAATTCTTTCAATTGTTTATTCTAACTGAAATTTGGCAAGAAACTCGAGAAAATATAGAAGGCTTTTAAATTTTGTAGTCTTAAACAATAGCAATAAAAATGATCTTTTTAGCCCTTTACAAACATTTTTTAGTTTTATGGCTTTACAAAAAATCTTTGTCGAGAGATTCATTTTTAACCATAAGAGATTTAAAATGATCATTTTCTTCTATTCAAATTGTAATAGGACGAGAGATCTCAGTTTTTAAATTTTTACACTCACCAACTTAGAATTATATATTCTTGTAAGATCATTTCTCTCAACCTCTCTTAAAATCATAAATTTTTCTCTTGTTAAGTTATTTCTCTATATTTCAAATAGAAAATTTTTCAAATGGTAAGGATGTCATAAATCCATCCATTATCATAATATGTGGACTAATAAAAAAGAAATCAACATTAATTATAATTTATTCAGTAGTCACAAATATGTTATTGAACTTCTAAAAAAAAATCAGCTATATCACCAATAAAAAGTTTAGCTCATGTATGTCATCCGTTAAAAATTTAGCTCATATATGCCATTTTCACCTGAGAAATGTTCATCCCCGTCATTATTTGTTAACGAAAAACAATTTCGATTATGCAAAATCATCTTTTACACACGTGATCAATTATGATTCAGCTATGTCATTAATAAAATTATTTTTTAAAAGAACAAAGGTAAAAAATATGTCAACAAACTTCGAGAAAAGACTCATCGTCTATGTTATCCGTTAAAAATTTGAATCATCTGTCATTTCCGTTAACAAAATAAAGCCTTTTCTTAAACAAAAATAACTAACACATATGAGCCAAATTTTAACGAAGGGCATAAATAAGACATCTCTCAAAATGCAATGGCATATTTGAGCCTTTCTCCATTACTAAATAACACCTGCAACTTAGATTTTGTTACCAAATTTTATCAAACTTCTCTTAGAATAATTGTCTTCCTATTGTAAGGCAATTGTAGTATCAATACGGAGTAAATTTCACATATGATCACGCAACTATCACATTCCTCACGTCATACATGCTACTCGATATGCGTTTCGCGCATGACTTTTTGACTTCTATTATCGATATGTATAACTACAGTAACTAGGTTACTGTTTCCCTCGACGCATTAACAACGTTCAAGTATCCAAATTAACGGTTAAAAAAAAAAAAAAAAGAGAAACTGGAAGTATAAACCCAATCACCAGAAGGAAGCAACAGTTTCCTCTATATCGAAAACATGCAGTCAAGCATTACAATACCACTGTACATGCTTTAAGAACATCTGGGAACTAACCAAGTTTAACACTAATGATAATGTACAGCAAAACAGTAAAGCAGTTTCAAATACCTGGCATCATCTGTGGGTAAAGATGGTGGCTAAAACGAGTCGATCTTCCCCGTCAGAAGCGGATGCAGCTTTAGTTTAACCGTTAATGCGTTCAAATGAACCTAGAATTCTTCACATGGTACATAGAAGTATATGTGAAAAACTACTAAAAGTTCAATAAATATTAACTTTTGAACCTCATAATTTCAAAGGTGCAATGGATCAGCCAATGGAAGGTTGAACCAATCAAGTTTAACTAACCTATGGATCCGCCTTCTGTCTTTTTAGAGGTGGCACGATGAAGTTGATCTTGATGGGGTTGTTTTTCTTCGGTGGTGGCTTCAGGATGTTAGTTAAAGCATTAGCACCTCTTATTTCAATGGCTGCCTTGTCATAAGCCAAAGCAGCTTCTAAAGCAGTATCAAAAGTTCCCAACCAAAGCCGAGTTTTCTTTCTTGTATCTCGAATCTCTGCTGCCCACTTACCCCATTTTCGTCGTCTAACTCCCCTGTACTTATTCACATCTTCTTGCATCAGATTCGAAGCTTTCTTCTCTTTGGACTTCTTCTTTGAAATGTCCTTGGTCTTTCCATTCTCGATGATGATTTCCTTTACGCACGTCCTTTCATGTCCCTCGGACTTCTCTTCTTCATCCTTCTCCTCCTCGTCACTAGACGAGTCTGTTGTGTCATGGTCCGGCGCGTGAATACGTACAAGACGTGGAAAGACTTGGGAAATTTCGCCCACTTGATTGCTGGATTTTTCAACTAGGGCAATTACTGAGGGTTCTTTGACTCCCTCTTTTACCTGAAGCTCTTCCTTGGGGGTCATTGCTTCATGCAAAGAAAAGGAAAGAGAAAGGGAAAGTCCATCAGACCGGACATGTGAACACTTCATATATGATCAGAAATTCTTTCTTTAGTTTTATGTATTATCGTTTGATGAACTTTTATCAATATGAGGCGATCGTACCAATCTCTTCAGAAATTCTTTAGAAGGAAATTCAAATAAAAAAGAAATAAACAAACAGAAACGGAACTGCTCACCCTAAGAAAGTTTTAGTACCTCTTATTTCAATGGCTGCCTTATCATAAGCCAAAGCAGCTTCTTCAGCAGTGTCAAAACTGCCCAGCCAAAGTCGAGTTTTGTTTTTTGTGTCTCGGATCTCTGCTGCCCATTTGCCCCATCTCCGTTGTCTAACTCCTTTGTACTTCTTCGCATTTTCTTGGAACATCTTTATATCTTTCTTCTCTTTGGACGTCTTCTTTGAAATGACCCTGGTCTTCCCATTCTCAATGATGATTTCCTTTATACACGTCCTTTTATGTCTCTTGGACTTCTCTCCTTGAAGCTTTTCCTCCTCGTCACTAGATGAGTCTGTGGCGTCACTGTCCGGCATGTAAATACGCACAACACGCGGCAAGACAACAGAACTTTCACCCACTGGGTTGATAGATTTCTCAACTCTGGGAATTTCTGAGGGTTCCTCGACTGCATCATTTTCCTTATGTTCATCCTTGGAGGCCATAGCTTCACGAAAGAGAATCAAAAAAAAAACAAGAAAGTCCATTAGACCAGACATGCATACACTTGATTTATGATAAGAAATTCTTTATTTTTATATAAAATTGTTTAATGAGCTTTTTAGCAATATAATGTAATTGTATCCTAACTCTTTCCAATGTTACAGAGAAAATTCAATAAAAAGAAATAAACAAACTGCTGACTCCGAAATCCCATATCATTGGAACAAAAAGGAAATGAGAAAAAAAAATACTCCCTTTGTCCCAATTTATGTTGCACCTTTCGCATTTCAAGACTCAAATGAGTTTTTACTGTGATCTTTTCATACACCTAAAAAAAATTTTGAATCATCAATTATCATGACATTAAGTACTTTTTACACAATTTCCAAATATGTAAATTTGATTTCAACAGAACTTCAAAGATTCCATGTCCAAATTTATGATCATAATTTAAAAAATCGATCTCAAAGTTCAAACTGTACCATATAAACCGGAACATGCTTACCTGACAAATATGCTATGCTATGAGAAATTGACCGTACCTTTACGACAATGGTGCTAACTTGTGTATCCCTTATAACAGATGAAGACTTGGTGCAGAAGAATTTACACTCAACTCACTTAAAATCCTAGATTCAATTTTTTTTTATGCCATTTCTTTCTCTAGAGTTTCCAATAGAAAATTTCCATACATTAGAGAAGTCAAAATCCATCAATGAATTTGATATAGTTCAAAAGATGAAATTCTAAAAAAATTCAAAAACGAGCAGACCAAAAGCAGTAGGATCTACACATACAAAAAATAAAAATGTGCTTCTTTTTGCGTGTAGAAGCGCACAGAAACTTGCATGGCACACATACATTACTTTAAAAATGTAGCTGGTGGCAAGAAAAAAAACAACTGAGACTTCAACATACCTTGAAAAGAAACTCAAAAGCTCTCAGACAAACCAGTAAATCTGATTTTCTGAATCTCTCTCTGCGGCTTCATAGATCTTTAGTATCTGAGCATATAGAAGAGTTGGGGAGCTCACGGGGTACGTAAGACTGGAATTTTGTACACTATCAGGTCAATTAAAAGATATTTGCAGGTAACCATCCATAATATGTTTAGTAACCTGAAAAGACAAAGGCATATAACTAGTAACATGTTAAAATATTCTGAAAATTTTATGACAGTATCAATATATGTAAGTTAAATCTTGTTCGAATTTTCATGATCTACAAGTGGTGGCCGACAATGACAGAAAAAGGTTCTTGAAGTTATTGTGAGTTGAGACTCGCCAGTTACTGTTTTCTGAAGAAATCAACATTTATAATTACTAAATAGCAGTTGCAACTTAGATTCAGTTACCAAATATTATCAAACCTATTCTTAACTATCTTAACATTATCTTCCTATAAGGCAATTGTAATGAAAATATGGCCTAACTTAAACAATGATGAAGCATGTCACCCAAACCAACTAAGCGAAGTCGCATCCGCCCCATCTCAAGTACTTATCTTACAATGTCATGATCAGATTAGTTTACCCTAATTCCTTCGATAGTTTATTATATGGTTACCCCTCTAATAAGAAAAGGTATAAATATGTTCTTTTCTGCCATCTGGATCACAGAATTTTTCGAGGAGATCGAGCTTTATGCCAAAAATAGTAGAATCAAAATTAATTTTAAAAAAAAATTGAAATTGAATCGAAATTAATGTTATAATTAGTAACTAACACCTATATCTTAGATGTGGTTACCAAATTCTATCAAATATATAGTGTCGATTGCAGACCTAATTTAAACACGCGTGAAGCATATTTAAATCCAACTTTAACTAAAAAAGTTTAACTTCACTCTAGATTATAGGTATTCTCTCGTCTATCTCGATAAGACCCATTTTGTGCGGACTCTTCATATTTACGGGCGACCCCGTCTTGACGCGACACTAGTGCAGGCGCGAGCGCAGGGTGCATGTTGGATTCGTTCAATTCGATCTGGACACTTTGACCGAAGCCGAGAAAAGATTTGGGGAAGAAAAAATCAGTTTCCCGTGACGTAAAGAGGACAAAGCTTGAAAAAGTACAGAGAAGATGAAAGAAGAGAAAATAAGTTTCCGGCGACGCGGAACATAAAGGGGATAAAGCTTGAAAAATACAAAGAAGAGAAGGAAGTTAGTTTTTTTTTAAAAAAAGTAAAGGAAATACAGAGAAAAGTACATGGTCTTTTCAGTTTTCCTTGAAAAAGAACTCCAAACAGCAGAAACAAAGGGTTTCTCAAAATAAGTGTATTTTTTTATAAAAATAAATTACATTTATGCAGTTGATTAGTCTAAATGGTAAATTTTTTGTATGTATGTATTTCCACTTATTTGATTATACTAGATATATTGTTATAGATATCTTCATAACTATATTTTTATAATATTGAAAAATTTTAACAATATCCCCGCACCCGTATCCATACTCAGATTCACACCCACAAATCATAAAATTTGGATTTTGCCGAATCAGACTCTCGAATTTGCACCTGTCTCGGATACCCGCACCCGAGTCCAAGCAACTTAGGATAAGACCATTGATCGATTATTGGAAAATGATTTCCTAAAAGCAATGTATGTTTTCTCCTATGAATTAACAATGTTTTCTTTAGAAGGATGGAAAGCTTTACAATTGGAAGTTGCAACAGCTTGTTGGTATCAAGCAATAACAGTTTGTTGGTCTTGGAAAATCACCTGGCAGCAAAGCTCTTTCGAAGGTCTTTTGCTTTTTTGGATTGTGGTTGGCAGCAAAGCTCTTTCGAAGTTGCTCGGACTCGGATGCGGGTATTCAAGACGGATGCGAATCCGAGAGTCGAATTCGGCAAAATCCAAATTTTAAGATTCATGGGTGTGAATCCGAGTATGGATATATAAAAATATAGTTATGAAGATATCACTAGCAATATATCTAGTATAATCAAATAAGTGGAATAAATATATATGTATATATATATATATAAGAAAATTGAATTATACCATATAGTATACTAAACAACTGCATAAATATAATTTATTTTATAAAAAAGTACACTTGTTTTGAGAAATCCTTCGTTTCTGCCACTTGGAGTTCTTTTTCAAGAAAAAATGAAAAGACCCTATACCTTTTTTTTTTTTGAAACTGGTAAGACCCTATACTTTTCTCTATATTTCCTTGTACTTATTAAAAAAAAAACTTCTTCTCTTCTCTGTTTTTTCAAGTTTTATCCACTTTATGTCCTGCCTCGCCGGAAACTTATTTTCTCTTCTTTCATCTCTTCTCTGTATTTTTTCAAGCTTTATCCTCTTTATGTCGCCGACAAACTGATTTTCTCTTCTTTCTTCTCTTCTCTGTACTTTTTCAAGCTTTATCCTCTTTACGCAGCTGGAAACTGATTTTTTCTTCCCCAAATCTTTTCTCAGCTTCGGTCAAAGTGTCCAGATCAAATTGACCGAATCCGACACGCACCCCGCACCCCCACCTGCACCGGTGTCGCGTCGAGATGAGTTCACCCGTAAATATGAAGAGCCTGCGCAACATAGATGAGGGTATGCTGGCAACCAGACAAAAAATTCCAAGGCTAGTCATGAACACAAAGAGCCTAGGAAATCTACTAACTGATCTACTTCATACATACCCTCTTCTTTACACCAAAAGTATAGAGTACTGATACAGTTTTCTTTTACTTTCTGCATTGGGTTAGTACTATTCTTAAAACACCTGTTGTTACTTTCCTTCCAAATTGACCACCATATCCAAGATGGAACTAGATTCCACCCATTTTTCTGTGTTTTACTCCCCCTTCTTCTCATCCAACAGCTTAGTAGATCTGCCATATGCTCAGGCATCACCCAAGAATCTTGGATAAGGCTTTGAAACATATACCATATTTGGGCAGTCACTCTACAGTGTAAGAATAAATGATTGTTTCCTCCTTTTCATGGCAGAAGAAACACCTAGAAAGAATCTACAATACTCTCTTTTTTAGTCTCTCCTGAGTCAGGCATGCTCTTCTGCACACCGACCATGTGAAATAATTTCTCTTGGTTGGAATGTTGGACTTCCAGATTTGTTTCCAAGGTCCGAAAAATGTCCCCCTATGTTGCCAGGTCTCTTTTGAACAATCTTCCAAGAGAAAATTAAAAGTTTGGAACTCAAAAATTAAAAGTTAGGATGAGATTTTAGAGAAGTCTCTCAATGCTACTTCCATAGCTCTAATACCTAAGAAGTTTGGAACTCAAAAATTAAAAGATTTCAGACCTTTAAGTTTAATAGGGGAAATTTACAAGGTCATTTCCAAGCTACTCACAGAAAGACAGAAGACTCGGGGAGAAACTACCGGATGCACCTCAAGTGACCTTTTGCAGGGTAGACAGAATATGGCTGCAGCTTTTCTTGCTAATGAGTTGGTGGACTCTAAGAGTGAAATGGAAAAGGCCTGGATATTGAAAAGGTCTATGACCATGTCAATTGGGCTTTCGTTAATAACATACTAAGAAAAGCCAATTTTAATGGATGAATTAAGGGGTTTGGTCTCAAACTAACAGCGGTGAATGCATGGAGATTACTCATTTGCCTTGTGCATATGACTATTTGGTGTGTTCTTTTAATAACTGTGGTATTCGACAAGCTTACGAGCGCACTTCGACTAATTCCACCTCCCACCGGCAACAACAGGAACCATGTAATTTTGTCTACCAAGACTAGAACATATGGGGAGAAATCACCTGGTATTTTTGTCTCAGCTGGAATTTGAACCTGAGACATCAGATTCCATAACTAGAGTCCTCTCAAGATGGATCTGGAGATTCAGTAATGAGGACAGGTCCGTCTGGAAGAAGTGCGTAGCACAGAAATATGGTTTGATGAACCACTTGACAACAAAAGAAGTGAAGACTGCACATGGATGCATATATGGAAAACTATTAGAAGGGAGTGGAATGACTGCAGTGATAATTTGAGCATAAAGGTGGGTGATGGGGCAAAAACTTCCTTATGGTAAGTTCACTGGATTGGCAAAGCCATCTTAGAACTATATCCAGGATTTAAACCTTATCGGTCTTAAGATTGTGAACAGAATAAGGGCGGAACTTTTGTATAGGAGGGATCGAAATGATTGAAAAAATGGCAGATCACAGATTTGCTACAGGAGTTAAATTTCTACACAGGAACTTATACTACACCAGACAAACCAGTCTAGAAATTGCGGAACAAAGGGATTTTCTCTGTCAAATCAGTGCATAGGGAGGATTACAACTTGACATTTTACCCATTGTTTAGCCTCGGAAACTTATCTTTGGAAAATTTCTACAGGTAGACTCATTACAAATAACAAAATACAATGCACAAGTAATTAGAAACTAGTTGAGCAACTCTAAGAAAATTTAACTGCAAAAAAATATGCCGACAAACAAAATAACAATTAATTTCTTTCCATAACTCCATTATAAACTTAAATGAGAATATAATATATTTTCTCCTAGTTTTTGGTCCCTCAATTTCTCCTACTACATGTTGTTTATCGTGTTTTAGTCATCATTATATTTCATTGTGATTACTGATCATTTCCTTTCTATGCTTTACAATGTTCTCCTATTATTTCCTATGTCTTCATTACTTGTGTTTTCTCCTTATAAATCTACTTCCGAAAAAAAGACTCTCTACCTCCACAAGATAGGGGTAGGGTTTGCATTTCTGTTATTGAGTATACAACATTTCCATTAACTTCCATAGTCAAATCAAAATCTATAACTTTTATGGTTGAAAATTTTAAATTTTTTTTTCCATTATTCCCTTTTCAATCATTGAAATGCTACAAAGTTAAAACTCCATACTTCCATAAACTGAGTAGAATAATTTCTCATTTCACTCATAATTACTCCAAATACAGCTATCAACAACAGAATTTCAAAGTTCTAACTTATCAAGGATTGCTAAACTATTTGCAAAAATTTTTATTTTTTTTTCACAAAATTCAAGTTGGATTCAGTGTCTGATACTTTATGCTTTCTATAAACAACAACAAGAAGAAGAAAATAGATAAGGAACAGTTTACCTTTACTGCCGTGAAAAGTTACCGGCGGCGAACATCTGCGGTGGCAAAGACGGTGGGGTTAGGGCGGTGGAATCCAGAGCCAGTAAGAGACACATGTTTTTTTGAACTTTTATATATTATTAGAATTTAAGAAAACGAAAACGTCGTCGTTTCTGCACTTATATTAGTTTGATCAAAAGTTTATATATTTTTTAAAAAGAAAAAAGAAAAAATAACTTATCTTCGATGTGAAGAATTGTTCATATCATACATGTAAAAGAATAATATTAAACGAAAAAATAATTATCAATATTGTTGATTAGTGAAAATTTATAAAATTATGTGTATTTGAACGTTTGCGATCACAAACGAATGAAAATATATAATTTATTTATGTAGATCATAGGATATTCTGATATTTTATTTATAAATTATTTTTTATTTATAAGTAAGATTGTTTTTAAAAAAAATTGTTTTTGCATTTAGTGAGTTTTCGTATTTATGAAAAAAAATACATTTAAAAGATTCAAATTGTACATGGTACATGCATATTTTTTTGGCTTAGTATTTTTTTAAGGATATAAGTCTAAAATATATTCAAATTTCGATCGCAATTATTGTGACGATATTAAACTTTGAAAAAAACCTTTTACCCCATGAAATATGAAGGCGTGCAACTTAATATTTTGGGAACTTGCCACTGATTCATCTACTTTTATTTATTTTTACGGGGGTTCAAAATATATATATCTATAAAAATGTAGAAAAATTACCTTATATATATCGTGTATTTTTTTGTTGAGAGAGTTCGAGTTGAACCCCCTGGACCCAACATAGCTCCATTCCTGATTATAAATAATAACATGTTCACGTTGACACGTATATACCTTTAAAATATATTATTAAATAATGTAGGGTAAAAGGTCCTTTATAAAATTTAATATCGTAACAATAATTTTGGGAAAAAAAATATTTTTTAGACCTTTTCTTTAAAAAAAAATAAGGTTGACTTTAAATCTAAATTTTAAAATGAGGAAACTATTTTAATAAGCCATATGACCATTGAGCATTATTTAAATAGGGAAAATGCACAAGTAGTCCCTCAACCTATGCTCGAAATTTCAGAGACACACTTATACTGTACTAAGGTTCTATTACCCTCCTAAATTTATTTTATAAGTAATTTTCTACCCCTTTTCGGCGTACGTGACAATAGCTTGAAAAAAAATCAACCAACGTTGGGCCCACAAGATAATGCCACGTAGGCTGAAAAGGGATAGAAAATTATTAATAAAATAAGTTCAGGGGTGTAATAAGACCTTAATATAATATAAGTGTCTCTGTGAGATTTTTGGCATAGGTTGAGGAGGTACTTGTGCATTATCCCTTTAAAATATACCAAAAAAGATAAATCAAAGTTTGATCATAAAAAATTTAAAATCATATTTTAAAAATACCCAAAATCCTTTCGCTTTCTTCAACCAAATGTCATTTATTTTATTATTAGATGCCGGGTGTCAGCGTCAGCGCAGACACAATGTATGTTAACTTTTTTAAATTTATGTGAGAGAAATGAAACTTGAAAAAGTGAACTAAATTTTTTATATGTGTTTTTTTAAAAATATTATAAATTATTAATTTATGTACCTTTTGTGTCATTTTCAAATAATATATGTTACTTCATCTGTTTTATTTTATGTGATACAACCAAGTGATTTTAGGAAAGTCAACGAAATTTCTTATATGATTCTCACATATTTTTAGTTGTCATTTTACTGTGATTCATAATACTTTTTAGTTCTTACGTTATTTTCAACAATATATGCAATTTTTTTTGTTTCGATAAAAATAAGGGAGTCAACCAAATTTCATTATGTTTTTTAACTACTTTTTTCTAAAAATATTTTAAATTGTTACATTGCGTTTTAAGTTTTTTTCTCTATATAGTTTTCAAACATGTAACAAATTAAAAATTAAAACGAAGAATAAGTTTTCAAATCATTATATTTCTATATTAAAATGCTTAAATCTTTAAAATTTCACATATATGCACAAATTAATAGAAGGAATCCGAACAATTTTTTTTAAAAAAAAATAATTATATGAAAGCTCATTTTAATTTAATAGTAACACATATATATTTCATTTTCAATATATGACTCCCTCCTTTTCGATTTATATGAACTTATTCTTTTATTTTATTTCAAAAAGAAAATAACTTCTAAATTTTAATTTTTTTATATAGCATATTTAAAATCACAAAATTAAAAAAAAATATTTCAATACACAAATTTAGATATACCTATAAATTTTAATTTTAGTTTTGATTGATTCCACCTAATATTATACTTGATATATAATTATTAAGAGTTAAGCTTAATAATTATTTATTTACTTTCATATAATAAATAGATATCACAATAACTCAAAAGAAAATGAAAAATAACAAAAATGAGGTAATACTAATAATACTAATTAAAAAAAATTCTAAAACTATTTAATTTTCTTGTTATTCTTGGTAGAATTTTGCTTGCGTGAAATTATATTTTTACATTTGATTATCCTTCACTTCATATATAGAAAGATATTTCTAAAATTATTTATTCTCGAATATATTTTGTTAGAATGAAATTAAATTTTTATTCTTAGTCGTCTTGAATACAAATATATCATCCTATTAATTTTTAATTGTAAAGTTATCTTTTAACATCTTTTTCTTTAATTTCAATCTAATATATATTATTAATTTTATCACACTTATTTATTTTCAATATTAATGAAAATGAAAATAATTAATTTATGATAAATTTTTATATATAAAAAATAGCCATTTTTTATAAGCATAACGAAAAGATAAAATATTAAGAATTAAATTAAAATAATAATAAAATAAAATAATAATAAAATAGATTTCACAATAACTCACGAAAGAAAAGAAATTGAAGTAATAACAAAATAAATTAATGATAATAACAATAACTTAAGATGTTTCTAGAATTATTTAATTTTTCTTGTTATCATTCTCGATAGATTTTTGTTAGCGCGAAATTAGATATTTGCCCTGAATCATTATTCACTTCATATAATATAGGAAGATGTTTCTAGAATTATTTATTATGTTTCTTAATAGAACTTTGTTATCGTTAAATTATATTTTTACCTTGATCGTTCTTCTACTTCAATCTTCTATATAAAAATAAATAAAATATAATTCAAAACCAAATACAATTTTGACTTCAAATATTTATTATCAAAAATTCCAAATAAAATTAAAAAAATTGATTTCTATTAAGCCCCAATATAGGTTATGGCAGCTAGAGAAATTTCTGTGGCAATATCACTTCAGTTCTTGTTACACAAATTGCAGCAGAGAGACAAATGATTCTTCAAAATTGAACAGAAAAATGTTGAAATGCACAAAGTTTCAATGGCAGCAGCCAAGAAATGGGTTGATTTTATCTTCTGCATTCAACCTTCATTGTGGTTCATCTCCTAATGCTCTCAAGGTTTGCCTCTTTACCCGATTCTTGATGTAAAGATTCAAACTTTTACTTTGTGTATGTTGAAATTAAGAGTACAAATTCCAATGGTCTTTGTAGTCTCAAACATCAGTGAGCTTAAATCAGTGTAATTATGTTGAGTGTTATGACCTAAGTAGAACAGAATGAGTAGAAATGGTTCATATTGTGGATCCGTACTAAAATTCTTCTAAACCTATTTCCGCTTGTAGCAATTGGAATCTAATGAGCTACTACTTAGGAGAATAATGTTTAAATTCGAAATCCAATAAGCAATGGAATTTGAAAAGAAACAGTACAAGTGTGGGAGATAGCCCGAAGACTGATCGATAGTATAGTCAAGGAGTTGCTGTAGAATCTGAATACAAGACCAAGGGACACAAAGTTGAAACCGAAATGAAGAAAGAAAATAAAAGTGTCATAGATGCTACCTCCACAAGCAGATTGTGGCTGATCCATCTCAGCAGAACTTGGTATGCTGCCTTGAATCGAGACCAGATAAGTCCCACGGTGCCACTAGTAGAGGGATTTGGTGTAGCACAAATGCAGTAAGATCACGTTAGCACGCTAGCTAAGTCCTTGTGTGTGCACTCACTAAACCAACCCATAGCCTCCCTACACAGATAAAACTACTCGGCCAAAGCCATAGATCTTTCATAGATAGGACTGCTGAACCGCTTTCCTAGGTCCTCATCAATATCATGACTAGAACAAATCCGTTGGCCCTCACCGATTAGATGGCTACACTAACAATGTGATATAAAGATTCAGATAAGGTAAACTAAAACAATTATAACATTTAGTACAGACAATGAACATACTTGGATTGAACAAATTAATAGCACGTATTACACAGCTATGTATCTTTAGCATGCTTCAATCAATGAAATACTACTATGTCATGCTTAGTTTATAGTAAAAAAGGTTTAGATTAAGCTTTTCCCACTCATTAAGCTACAACTGTAAGAAGGTATAACATATAAGAATAGCTCAAAATGCATACATGTCCAATTATGCACTCGCACACAACATACTAGGTAGTTTGAAAGCAAGTAGGGGCGTTACAAATTATCCTTTTGGAAAAGCAATCAATTTGTAGATTAAAGTTTATCTGGACCCCACAACTTTGGTTCACCGGAAAAGATAGTACATCATGCAATGTATAGTAGGTGCATGCCACGCGTCCGAATTTTGTTGTGAACCAAGTCTGGTATTTAAGTGGAGAATGGGGCACATTGTCCACCAAGTTTCAAAGTTCAAAACAACAGATTTGTCAGTTGGTTATTAAAAGAATAAAGAAAAAGTAGAAGTGTCTATCATGTAGAACTATAGCTTTATTGAATGCTTTGACTATAATATTTCGTGATATAATTGGTTTACATTTTGCTTTAACATCTGGAGAATTCATGTATTTTAAATCTTCAATGAGGAATGGAAGTTCAAGGTTGAGTAATTCTTGAATAATATTAATTCCTCGACTGTGTTTCAGGAAACATCGAAATCCAATTTGCCTAAGGAGGAGCATGTGTCCAGATTTCTTAAGAGGAAATGGGCATTGAGAAGCCCAGATACCAAAATTAACCAAATAACGATATCAAAAGATGATGTTCAACAGGGAGGTGAATATCTTGGGAATGTTTC